AAATTCTGGATTTCTGAAATCTGAAATACCGAAATTGTCTTCTTAAAATATTTTTCGGTTAAAATTTTTTTTTTTGAGAAACGTTATAGACCACCTGAATTGGGCTGAATAGGGCGATCTGGAAAGTGATCAGCTTCGACCACATGTTGCCATAACTATGGCTACTTAAAAAAAAGTTTTTTTTAAAATTTCAACTTCTGAATGTAATCTAGATTCACTATATTTTGAAGGCTTTCAGATCCAAAAACTTTAAGGCACACTTTCAGTTCTTATCGTAAAACCTATATTAGAAGGGCCTCTCTAATATAATAGCCTCCGAGAGGGACTCTGAAAGATAAAAGGGTCCACTGTATTAGAAGGGCATACATTAGATGTACGTTTTTCGTTTGAAATTCCGGAATTTGCACATTTTCACAGAAACTTGTTCTAAAACTGATATTTGTTCTAAAAATTGCTTAATTTTGGTGAAGCTTTCAGATTTTCAAGAATTTTGAAACGAATTTTTTGATCACGAGTTTTGAGAAAAAAACCGAAAAAATAGAAGGGCCCACTCTAATTGAAGGACCTCTGTGATAAAAATACCCTCTGGAGGTACATTCGAGCGTTTAACTATATTTTCTAAAAAATTTCGATTCAAAGTTCATTCCGGGCGGAGTTTGGAAAGAGCAGATGAAGGGTGTCAATGGAAACTGGTGAGAGGACCCATAAAAATTAAAGGACCCATACAGTATGGGCCATACTATTTAAATGTGGTTTGAGGGGGTGCAAATGCGTTGAAAATGGGTCTTGTGGTTTCGTTTGTTGCTCATGACAAAATGCCCGACTACTGTTGCTAGAAAAATTTAAAATCTCGAGAAATTTCACTCATAAAATTGTGCAGAATTGGTAAGGTGAATGGCTTCAAAATTCGATCGAAAATTATGATTTCTGCAAGAAATCTTTACGATCGAACAAAGATTCAAAATTTATTCTTAGAGTAAGAAGAGTGACTCGTTGATGAATTATATAGACGACACAACATCTTTTCAATATAAGAAAATGGGTTGAGAATGGAATAAAACAGACAGAGAATGATCTCATTCTTTTTCTTTTGCTTCTTCTGGAGTCACTTTCACTTTTCAAAATTGGCTTTCATCCACGAAGCTGTGTATAGCCTTCGCCGTCGTCAACAATGAATGAGATGAGAGACCTCACGGAATTACGGAATTCGATAAAGAAAATAAAAACACCGGGGACTCGGTATTCAAATTGAATGGCCTGATTTTATTTATTTTTCGCTGTATTATGTTC